TTGAGGTACAGTTTAGACATCTATTATAATACATCACAAATATACCTTTTCATACTTATTCTCTTCATTCATTTTCAGTGGTCCGTATATCATTTCTTTAATTAGATGTCTCTCCGTGATTTCTAAACCAAGCTTCTTAAATTCTGACTTTAATTTATACTTCTCTACTATATGATCAAATAGTTTGATCGAACCCAACTCATGCTAATGAATAAAAAAAAAATATTATGTCAGTATAAAATATTATATATTGGGCATTGCTCAGATGAGATTGGGTCATCGACGTATTATCTGAGAACATAATTTGCCCTATCCTTGTCATAACATTATTATTGTAATGTACCTTGCCAAATTGAATTCAATCTACGCAGCGTATGCGGTAGTGGAATTTTCCTACTAAGAATTTCATTCTTAAATAAGGTAGTAAACCAGTATCACGTGCAATACCAATCTCCCTTGCACGATTCTATTTCTACGAATATATCTCTGCCACTACGTGATCTTATGCTTTTCGTTGATTGGTTGATGCATCACAGTTGTACTACCTCTAAAAATGTCCACCAGAACATTGCATACAGGTGCAGATTCCGACAAAAGCGTATGCGATGTTTATAGATTCTGGCTGTTTTTATATACACCGATATATAAAAAAAGCCAGATATAAAATACAATATAAAATACATACTAATCTGGATAAAATAAGATTATACTAGTTTTCTTTTTTTCATTTAACTCAATTTTATTTTAATGCATTTTGTTCCATTATTTATTTGTTGGTAGTTTCCTAAAGTTTTGATAATTGCGAAAGCCAACAAGGCTCTATGTGGCGATAGTTGAAAAAATGAGAAATCAAAGTTATCTAAAAAAAGAAACATAAAATAAATACAAAATAATAAAAACAAATTAAAATAAATATATAAAATAAAATACATGCCGAAAACTACATCAGATTTTAAGCAGATTGAAACATGCTGAAACAAAGCCTGAGATAACTTTCATATATTTTCCTTTGTAAACAGATTTCCCAGTCCACCAAAAAATTCTTTGTGTTATGTAAAATGTTTTCTATTTTCCTACTTTTCTCTGCGAAGAGGTTAATATACATACCTTCCAATTTTCATATCCTTTAGGTTTAAGCTTTGGAATTATTTCTCCATCAAAGAGATGAGAAAATGGACCATGGCCTACAAAAATAATGCGTTATGAGACTTCAGCATGAATTATAAGCAGGTCTGCAAGTCAATTCCAAGCATCCATGTACAAAATTTATATCAGTGCTAATTGCTAAGATAATAATCGAAATGTATGGATGGCCTGCTCTAATCTTTTCACTACCACAATTTCTCACCCAAATTTGTCTGCACTTTTTTTTATATTCTTAAATTTTTCTGGAAAGGAACACTAGTTTTGAAGCCAACAGCCAAATTTTGAGTCAATTTTCAGTTTTTACTCAAATATTTTGTCGATTTTTGTCTCAATCTTCTGAAGCAAAGTGCAGACTATAAACAGGACAGAAAGATATACATGTATTAATTAGTATGGTCAAAAAGAAAGATGGCCTCCAGTCAGCCATTTTGATTCGATTGTAAAACAAATTGTCATAGACATGTAACCTAAAATGTACAAATGTAGATGACAAACCATGCCCATGATACAACATTTAAAAAACAAACAAGATGGCTGCCAGGCGACCATCTTTGATCTGATCCGACAGACTGACGGACACCGAATTATAATTATAATAACTTCATTGTAATCATATCCTTGTTAGGATGTTAACTTGAAAAGTACAATAAAGGACTGTACTGTTTCAACGAGTACTCATGAAGAAAAATATATAGGAACAAAAAAGGACGTCAAAGGAACTTTTTAATTTCCCAATTTTAGTTACTCAATGACCATAAAATAATTCAATATTATATATAACTGTATAGACTATTAGAAACTCTAAAGTAGAGAATATAACCTGAAAAAAGAGGAAAATACTGAATAAGAAACAAAATAAAACTAAGTTAAGGAGAAAATGAATTTGCATAGTTTTGCTCCCCCTTTGAATTTCTGATGGTCTACCTCCTAGAAGCATTATGTGCCAGTAAACCCTAGCTCCCAACTTGAGAGTTATGGCAAATGATGGAGTTATTAACCAATCAAAATGCCATGTTGTACCAATGCAATTCTCTGAGAATTCCTGAAAGCATTCAAGTAATGCAATGTGAACATGAATATTTGATGTTGACATACGATCTGTTTGAATTGATTTTGGCAAAAAAATGGCATGATTTAAAAAAAAAAAAATAAGGTAATTAGAAATTTCTAAAGGTAAATTGAATATGGAATGAATTATTTACAACCTTCCACTGTCAAAGCATAATTTGCCCATGGTTACAGTGGTCTATGCATCCACACGATATATACATGTACATACGGCGGTCAATAATTACGCTGTATTATATAAATTTATTTGTCAGTATGCGGGAAAAGTCAAACAATGCTCAAAAACCAAGTTTTATGACTATATAGACAGTCAAATTTGGAGCATTCTGGAAGGGATGAGCACTTTGTCGAACTTGAACACGAAAATAAGAATGCCCCAAAAGTGGGGTGTGGATGCTTAGTCGAGCATGGACACATATCCCAAATTAGGGTTGGTCAGGGTTAACACAGACTGGCACATAAATCTGAAGAGAAATTCACATTCTTACCTAGATCATGACATAATGCTGCAATTTTGACACACTGTGCTTCTTGCTTTGTCAGCAAGTCATCTTGGGTTTTTACTAAGTGATTGACCAACTGTGTAGCTATATAGCAAGTGCTATGACAAAGATATATATAGAGATGATGAACATCAAATATTTGATTACAACAATGGCA